TATATATATATAGGAATTTATTTATGTTTTAAATACTAGTAGCGGCGGCGATCAGCGACTTATAGCGGGACTGCGGTGGGCATTCTGACACTGGGGGGGAACTAACTAACTAACGGCCATGGACATCCTCAGTGACACTAATACAGTGATCAGTGCTAATAAAAAGCACTTACACTGTATTAATAACACTGGGCAGGAAGGGGTCAACATCTGAAGTTCAAAGGGTTAACTGTGTGCTGTTTTATTAACTGCTGTGTGTGTTTTACTGTGTAAGCCCGCTGCTTTGTATAGCTTTGCTATGCAGACCCATACAAAACAACATGCTGGTGCGGACAGGGGAGTGATCTGTATTGATTTCATACAGACCTCTCCCCTGTCAGTGTTCCTTGGTGATCGCCGGGTGCCGGCGGGTAATCTCTGGCTGGGACACGGTGATTGACAGCTGTAGCCGCCAATGGTGGCTGGGTAGGGTGGTGCAGACACGCATGCCTCCTACTCAGAAATGCAAGATCACGTATATCTACATGATTTCACGCAGCCCTGCCACCCTGTAGTATTAATTCTGCTATAGGGCGGTTGGGAAGCAGTTAATAGCTGTGCCTTAAAAATCCCAGCTTTCCAATACACCGCTAGAAATTTAGCATCATTAATGGGTATTCTCCAGCAGGGAGGAACCAACTACAGTCCTGGCCAAAAATTGAGAATTACACAAATATTAATATTCTCAAAGTCTGCTGCTTCAGTGTTTTTAAATCTTTTTGTCAGATATTACTATGTTATACTGCAGTATAATTACAAGCATTTCATAAGTGTCAGGCTTTTATTGACAATTACATTAAGTTTATGCAAAGAGTCAATATTTGCAGTGTTGACCCTTCTTTTTCAAGACGTCTGTAGTTCACCCTGGCATGCTGTCATTCAATTTCTGGGCCACATCCTGACTGATGGCGGCCCATTCTTACATAATTAATGCTTGGAGTTTTTCAGAATTTGTGAGGTTTTTTGGTTCACCTGCCTCTTAAAAATTTACCCCAAGTTTGCAGTGGTATTAAGTTTTGGGAGTTTCCTGACCATGGACCCAAAATTTCGATGTTTTGTTCCCCAGACCACTTAGTTATCACTTTTACCTTATGGCAAGGTGCTCTATCATGCTGGAAAAGGCATTGTTCATCACCAAAGTGTGCTTGGATGGTTGGGAGAAGTTGCTCTTGGGGGATGTTTTTGTACCATTCTTTATTAATGGCTATGCCCAAAATTGTTAGTGAGCCCATTCCCTTGGCAGAGAAGCAATCCCACACATGAATGGTCTCAGGATATTTTACTGTTGGTATGACACAGGACTGATGGTAGCGCTCACCTTTTCTTCTCCAGACAAGGTTTTTTCCATATGCCTCAAACAATCAGAAAGGGGATTCATCAGAGAAAATGACTTTACCCCAGTCCTCAGCAGTCCAATCCCTGTACCTTTTGCAGAATATCAGTCTTTCCCTGATGTTTTTCCTGGAGAGCAGTGGCGTCTTTGCTGCCCTTCCTGACACCAGGTCATCCTCCAAAAGTCTTCGCCTCACTGTGCATACTGATGTACTCACACCTGCCTACTGCCATTCCTGAGCAAACTCTGCACTGGTGGTGCCCCAATTCTTCAGCTGAATCAACTTTAGGAGACGGTTCTGGCGCTTACTGGACTTACTTAAGCGCCCTGAAGCCTTCTTCACAACAATTGAACATCTGTCTCCTTGAAGTTCTTGATGATCTGCTAAAACAGTGGTCTCCAAACTGTGGCCCTTTGCTTGCTTTTATCTGGCCCTTGGGGCACTATTCCACTTACTGACATGCCACACTATTCCTCACACTGATACCAACAATTGGGCACTATTCCTGCTACTACTAATGATGGAGCAGCATTCCTCCCACTGACACCAATGTCCGGCCCCCTAAAGTCTGAAGGAGAATAAGCTGGCTCTTTGTTTAGAAAGTTTGGAGACCCCTGCGCTAAATGGCTGATTTAGGTGCAATCTTAATGGCGGCAAATTTCCTTGCCTGTGAATCAGTTTTTGTGCAAAACAATGATGACTGCATGTGTTTCCTTGCAGGTAACCATGGTTGATCGAGGAAGAACAATAATTTTAAACACCACCCTCCTTTTAAAGCTTCCAATCTGTTACTTTAACTCAATCAGCATGACCTTGTTGAGGAGGACAAGTCTGGAGATCACTCTGACACCTGTGTTAGCGAGAGCATCACTGACATGATGTCAGCTGGTCCTTTTGTGGCAGGGTTGAAATGCACTAGAAATGTATTTTTTGGGATTAAGTTCTCTTTTTTTATGGTAAAGAGGGACTTGCAATTCTTCTGATCAATCTTCATAACATTCGGAGTATATACAAATTGCCATCATAAAAACTGAGACAGCAAACTTTGAAAATTAATATTTGTGTCACTCCCAAAACATATGGCCTCAGCTGTATAGCTAATGATGCACTTTTGATTTGCAGGCTCAGTGAATGAAATATAGGAATAACAATTCAAAGAAAATTGGAATGAGGTCCAGCACAATAGAAGCAACTGATGGATTCCAAGAATCCCATCATATCAATAAAGCAAAAAAAAAAATGGGAGCATATTCCCAGCCAACACAGAGCAATGAAGTCCACAAAGAAATGCAGAGTGAATACTTACCAGTCCTGATGGAGTGCTCTGTCTTTGGTAACCACATTGAGGCCAATCCAGTCAGCAGTTGGAGACCTCAGATGAAGTAGAAAAGAAGGATAAACTGTAGGCTGATTCTAAATTTAGCTTGAAATTACATGGAGTATGCAATATTTGATTGCAGAGAAACAAAATCTAGGAAAATAATAACACAGTTACTACTAAAGCTGAGATGCCTTGCTTGTCCTGTGATTCAGAGGAAAGCAGCTTTACCAAAAGGTCAGTATTTTTTAGATAAAGTGCTTGGGAATTGCTCCTGTGGGTGGTGATTGCAGAGGGATGCAATGTGCTCTCTCTATAATGAATGAAAGAGAGTTCCAGAGAGGGCAAATTTTCATGTACCCATTTCTCTTAAAAGGTTTCAGAAGATGAAACCTTGACGCTTTTGTAAGTCAAATAAACGTTATTATGTCCCTAACAGTTTTCAAGATCATCCAGCGTTCTGTTGGCAATTGAGCAATTCCTTTTTAGTGTTTCTATTGTCTGTAACAAGGGGGAAGAGAGTGTCCTCAGCTGTGCTAATTTATTTGAACTTGTGCCTCAGAGGGGCAGTCACACAGATTTTGAAGGTCCCACTTTTAATGTGGAAAAACCAGTATGGATGCTCTTTAACTGCTTCTCTAGAGTTGCTTTACAATTGCATATAGCTTCTAGTAGCTGGGTCATAGCAGGCTTGGTTTGTGTAGGAGTAACATCCTTACTATGTCCGCATCCAAGCTGTGCCCCCCTTCCCATGACATGTCATTTTTAGTGTTGTAACATTTTTTGACATTGTGGACCCCAGTAACATAGCATCTCTGGTACTGCAACATTTTTGATATTGTGGTCACATGTGGATAGTAATATGAAATCTTTTTTGCTATAACCCCGGGTAATGTAGACTTCTTGATGTGCTTTAATATTTGGAGCCCCAGTAATAAGGAATCTCTGTTTCTATAACACATGTGATAATGTGGGCTCCCAGTAACATGATTTCTCTAGTACTGTAACATCCTTGACAATGTAGACCCCCAGTAACGTTGCGTCTCTGGGGCTGCAACTTCTAAAAAAAAAAAAAAAAAAGAAAAGTGAACTGTTTGGTACTGTAACCTCTGTGGACTTGACTTCACTGATATAGGACTGCACTGACAATCTAAGAACAAAAATGTAACATATTGCAGCTTACCGGTGCTTGTGTGTGGTGGCTGCATTGGTTTAAGATTTTTCTACAAGTACAGAAAAACACTGGAAACTTCCTGCTCACTGAATATAAATATTAAACATTATTGTCGGCCTGTCTAATTCTTGTTTGATAAATACAAGACTTGCCTCCTAACATGTAATGGAGATGAAGATAAAGTGCAGTAGGGTGACCTTTGTCCACCCTAGGTGCGTTACTGGCAGAATCACCTGATAAAATAAGGAAGACAACTGAAATAGAAAAATAATGGGACCACAGCATCTGGGGTTACTAAGCTGATAGCCCTACCTTAACCACTTTTGGTTGGAAAAATGGTTTTCCTACCAATTAGTTTTGAGGTAATTGTTTTAAGTTGGCTTTTTTTTCCTTCCATCAATACTTGTTACTGAAAGCTACATGCACTAATAACTGTTTGTGCAATAACGCTTTAGAACGACAATGCATGCTGTACAGCAAAGTAAATAATATACGTGTTTTGTAGTTTGGTATAGGGACCAAGGGCGTATTTACCACAAGGCAAACAAGGCATTTGCTTAGGGCAACATTTTTCGGGGGAATAAGAGATGGAAGAAGGGACACATGTGGACCAGGTGGGAACTGAGAGTGACTGCAGACTGCTTGACAGTGTATGTAGAGCCTGACTCTCATTCCTGGGGTTGTCCGTAGCTGTGAAAGTGAGTGTCCTTCTCTCTCTTGCCGGGGGTGGGGCAGCTAGTGTATGGGGAGCCATGGTAGTGGAAGGCTCTTTCGGGTGGGGGGACAGGGGTGTTCTGTGTCAGTGGCAAGCTCTCTCTGTGGGGGGGGGGGGGGGGTGGTGAGTGGTGGTGGCCAATTTTTATGTTGCCTAGGGCAGCAGAAAACCTAAATACACCACTGATAGGGATTAGGACTTTTTGATATCTCCATGCATTAAGTTCAGTAAAACAAAGAAAAACAAGGCAGGGGAAAAAAATGCCCAGTTATTTGTAGTTCTGAGTGCATCGAAGGTATTCTGAATGTGATAATGTTTGGTTCCCATATAAAGGACTTGTGACAACCTTGCATAGGGTGGTGTAATATCTTGCTGTTACTGTCATTTCTCTGCAAAATGTTGGTACTCATGCTTTCATAGGATGAATATGGTAAAGATGGCTCAGATGGAAGGGAAGTTTCTGGTGAAGTTCGGACAGGAAAGTGGAAAATTCCTACCTACAAGGATTATTTGGATTTATTTAGAAATTTACTGAACTGTGATCAGATAAAGGTATGGGTTCCTGTTTTCATTTAGCCATATTTATTTTTAAATGAAAGAATATATTTGTCTCAGTGCTTGGACATCTGTTCACATCTGAGATTAGGGAGTTGATTTATTGAAGACAAATGGTCTCTTCACTTTGCAAGGGAATTTTCCCTCAGCTTAGTAAATTTGAAAATCTACTTTGCAAAGAATAGCCAATCCCATGCAAGGAAAAAAAAAAAACAGTATTTTGCTTGCACATGATTAGATGTTGGAAGTCCGCAAAGCTTCACCTCATTCACGAAGCTTAGCGAAAATTCCCATGCAAAGCAAACCGCTTATTTGCCTTTATTAAATCAACCCATATGCCTAAAACACGAAATGCTGATTAATGTGCTGGTCTATTTTTGCATAAGCCCCAAGCAATACTTCATAGCAAGCATACATATCTATTCATCTCATGAGTACTGTATCAGTTCAGGTGGGTTCACTTCTGATGCATCTCCATACATATCCTCCAGCTGGATGCTAGCCCAGCTCATATGCAGAATAGTGTAAGGCTAGGTTCACACCTATGCAGTTTGCGTTTCGATCAGTTGCTGCTGTACTTCTGCGGTGCGTTTTTGCTGTGTTTTGCCGGTTTTTTTTTTTACTTGTTGCTGGGCAGATTAAAACCGCAAAACGTGTCAAAAACGCACTACATGCATTTCTGCAGCGTTTCCATTGAAGTCTATTGAACCAAAAACACAATATTTTGCATTTAAAAAAGTCCCTGACCCTTTCTAAAAAACGCACCGGGGGTGAAAACTCGGAGTTGTGAACGTGTCCCATAGGAAATCATGTTAAATGGACTGCTGTGCGTTTCTGCAAAACACAGTGGAAAAGCATAGGTGTGAACCTAGACTAAGACAAAGAAAATCTGGACAGCTGCTCACCAACGTTCTACTTTATTTAGAGTGAAAAACCAAAATAAGTGGTGGTACAGATACAGTAGAGGACTAACCAGTAAACATGTTTCACGCTAAAACCAGCCCTTATTCATTACCCAACGGACATGAAAACCAAATGTAGCTTTAAACTCTCATAACAGCTGTCACTCGTTAACAGGTGATCGGTCCACCTTCTAATGCACTGAGTCTGGTTTACCCTAGGTTCCCATCTGTATGGGTGGTGCCCGCTGCGGATCTGCACGAAACTCCATGCAGTCACACCACCCGCACAGAGAAATGCGGACCCTCGGGCGGGTGCCATTAGTTCTAACCGCACACCGCCCGCACTGGAAAACACAACCGTACTGGGAACCGAGGTTCCCGTGCGGGCTGCATTTTCCAAAGAGGTGCAGGGACTTCTTCCCTGCGTGTCACGGGCACGTGAGTCCATTCAAATGAATAGGCTCTCGTGCCCATGCAAAACGCGGCCTGCATGGCTGTATATATGTGAACCGGGGGTAAAAGAAAATCCTCCTACAATCTTTGGTACATACAACAATCAAACCCATGTTGTGAATGCATTCCACATCCATCTCCACATTTTCGTGTTAATTGGCAGGATCAGGATCAAAGAATAAAACAATATGTGATGTAATTAAAAACATATTTTTCATGAACTATCAACATGTATATAATATCCACTAAAAACAAAAACAGACACTATAGAGGACAATGCTCCAATTTGTTAATAATTACTTGTCCAAAGCACAATGTTGGTTGACAGGCAGGGACATAAAAAAAAGTGCAACATGTGTGGGAGGACATGATCTGTATATAGAATACATACAAGTGCAAATCTAGAATGCAAAGTAAAAATAAAAAACAAAACAGAAAAAAACAAATGAAAAAAAAAAGGAAACGACACAAAAATAGTCAAAAATAAAAATCAAATAATGAAAAATATACAAACTATAAATACTATAAATTATAGTTTATAAATTTTTCATTCATCATTGATTTTTATTTTTGTAAATGCTTGTGGCGTTTCCTTTAATTTTTTTCATTTTCTTTTCTTTTTTTCTTTTTCATTCTAGATAGTATTGTCCTCTATAGTGTCTGTTTTTGTTTTTAGTGGATATTATACAGTGGGGAAAATAATTATTTGATCCCCTGCAGAATTTGTGAGTTTGCAATGAAGGGTCTATAATTTTTTTTATCATAGGTGTATTTTAAATGATAGAGAGAGAATATCAACCAAAAATCCAGAAAACATACATGATACATATGTTATAAATTGAGTTGCAGTTCAGTGAGTAAAATAAGTATTTGATCCCCTACCACCAACAACAATTCTGGCTCTCACAGACTGACTTTGTGCTCATGAGGTACACAGATTAGTCCTGTCAATTTAAGAACGTGCTCCTAATGACAACTCGTTATATGTATAAAAGACACCTGTCCACAAAATGTATTTATTGGGCAACAACCATGGGCAAGACCGAAGAGATGTCAAAGAACGTCAGGTACAAGATTGTAGACCTGCACAAGGCTGGAATGGGCTACTAGACCATCAGCAAGAAGCTTGGCAAGCAGGAGACAACTCTTGGAGAGATTATTTGCAATTGGAAGAAATACAAAATGTCCATCAGTTGCCCTCGGTCTGGAGCTCCATGCAAGATTTCGCCTCATGGTGTAAGGATAATCATGAGAAAAGTGAGGGATCAGCCCAGAAATCCGTCCTGAGATGTGTACAAACTTGATAACCGACTACAAGAAACATCTTAACCTCACTGCCAACAAGGGCTTCTCCATTAAGTACTAAGTCATGTTTTGTTTGGGGATCAAATATTTATTTTACTCACTGAATTTCAACTCAATTTATAATATTTGTATCATGTGTTTTTTCTGGATTTTTGGTTGATATTCTGTCTCTATCAGTTAAAATACACATATGATAAAAATTATAGATCCTTCATTTCTTTGGAAGTGGACAAACCTACAAAATATGCAGGGGATCAAATAATTATTTTCCCCACTGTATACATGTTGTAGATAGTCTATGTAAAATTAATGTTTTTAATTACTTCACATATTGTTGTATCCTGATCCTGTCGATTAACTGGTTAATGTGGAGATGTATGTGGATTGGATTCATTTGAATGGATTCATGGATTGGATGGGTTTGATTGTATGTACTGAATTTTCTTTTAACCCAACTCCTCAAGTGCATTAAGAGGTGGACCTTATCACTTGTTAATAAGTGATAGCTGTTATGAGAGTTTAAAACTACATTTGGTGTTTGTGTCCGTTGGGTAAGGAATAAGCTGTGGTTTTAGCATGAAATGCATTTACCTGTTAGTCCTCTACTGTAAAGTAGATTGTTGGTGTGCAGCCATCCGGATTTTCTTTTTTCATCTCATCATTATGCTAGAGCTGGAACTGGCATGCCTAAACATAAAAAGTAGCAATACCAGTTCATATATTCATACAGATACAAATGCTTTAAAACCTTGATCTGTAATATAAGAACCTCAGTTAAGTTAGACAAAGTGTATAAAGCATTCAAAAAAATTATTGAAGAAATATACTTTTTATATATATATATATATATATATATATATATATATATATATATATATATATATATATATATATATATATATATATATATATATATATATATTCTCTGAGGGCTGTAATTGTACTGGTAGTGCCCATGCATTATTTTGTCTAAAGAATGAACAAGAACACATGCATGCTCAAATAGCTTTATTATCTCAAACATGGATACTCCTTACCAATATATAACAAACCACCTTCCCCCTTATTATAATTAGAACAGACAATTGCCTAAAAATTCTCCCAGGAGACTAATCAGTTAGGCCCCTTTCACACTAGCAGACTTCATCAGCAGATTGGCCTTCTCAGCAGGGGATCTGTCTGCTGATCCATACAGAGCAGACGAATGAAAGGATTTTGTCTGCTCCGCTTATGCAGAGCAGATATGAACACAGCCCTTTCTTCTATGGGCATCTGGATGTAAAGGGACCACCTGTCCATTTACATTCGACTGTCATCCTTCCTGATAGATGGATGAACCTCCATCCTGCTATTTTTAGTGGATTGGATGCAGGCGAGTGCAAACTGTCTCATGTCCGTATTACATCCGTTGCTCCATAGAGGGCAATGGATGGTCCAATCATGTCCGCCTGAAAAACGAACAGACGGACCCGATCAGTCCGCCTGTGTGAAAGGGGCCTTAGTGATACCATGGGTCATGTATCCAGGAGGCATTACATAGGTATTTCAAGTCTCCATCCCCTGGATTCATGCTAAACTGGACATTCGTGTTGTACAGAACAAATTGGAAGATATGTGTACTAATCTGCACACCAAAGTGATTTAACATTACCCACTATGAGGGTCAAAGCTCAATAAATGCATGTGACAACCCATAGTAGAAAGTACAGTGCACTTTCCCTTTGTCAAGATGGTTTAGTCTTGGTTCACATTGTATACTGCATGTAAATCGCACAGGAACTGCACTGCATCCTGTGCAATTCACATGAAATTCATTGCATTGCGGTTTGAGCCCATTCATATTTAATGGGTTCAAATTGTAGTGCATCACATCAAAGACTTGCATGCACCTTCTTTGAGATTCTGATGAACTGCGTTTGCGACGTGCATTTGGGGTGTCGTTATTTTTGTCTTGACACCCGCAGCAGATTGCAATGGCAGTGTGATTAGAATGCGGTGTGGGAATCATGCAAAGATTGCAGTGTTGTCGGCACTGCATTAGTTTGAACCTAGGTTTAACTAGATGCATCTTGTATATTATCTTTTGCATTTGGATTATTTGCAACATTGTATTTATGAGGAAAACAATTCATCTCAGTTTGTAGTTATGCTTGTACAGCAGTCATTCACTAGCAAAGACATTGAAGAAGACAAGCACCTGTTCAACTTAAGGGCCGGTTCACACTAGAATCACACAAGAACTCGGTCTGCATTCCTGTGTGTGTGTTTTCTGTGCATTCCCCTGCATTATGTTTTGGCAGTCCGTTCATTTGAATGGGCTGCAAATCGCACTGGAACGCACAAAAAAAGTAGTGCATACACTACTTTTGAGAAATGTGCTGCACCAAATTGCATAGTACTGCAGTACCATACGATGTCATGTCTGCAAACCTACCGCATTTGCAGACTGCATTTGGGGTGTTGTTAACAATGTATTGGCACCTTCAGCAGATCGCAGAGGTACTGTGTTTTTAATGTTGTGCGAGAAATGCGCATGAAACACAACTTTTCCTGCACTGCATTCTGGTGTAAACCGGCCCTCAATGAGGATTCAACAGGTAGCAACATACTACCCAGAAGATAGGCAGTCAGGATCTTTTCACATACATGCTTCAACTGGGATTGTATGATCAGTCTTTTTTCATCCAATTTCTAGAAGATGATCACCAGTTGATGTAAACATAGGGGCAGGTTACAGTGCAGCATACGGTTAACTCCTCTTTATATCTTTATATCCTAGGATACCATATTCTCCGATGAAATAGTCCATACTCTAAATTCACCTCTGCAATCTCTGAATAAACTGTTGTATGATGAACTTATAAAATCTGTTCTAAAAATTATAGAGAAGTTAGACCTTACCCTCCAAAAGCATGATCCTGAGCAATGGGTAAGTAATTATTTAGGCAATTCATGTGACACAGATGTAAGCACATCTATTTTGATGCTAATTGTTCTATTTACAAAAGCTTCTCACCTTCTTGCTTGAACTATGGTACTGTTGTGCCATTTCCCCAAAACTTAATTTTCTTCCGTAATGTTTTATAGTTCACACATTAGTATATCTGAATTAGATGTATTTGGAAACCTGCAGTTTTGAACTAATTGGAGTTCTGACAACTGTTATCAGTAACAAAATATGTGTTCCTTTTCTTTCACCTGCATGTGCTTAGGATGATGAAGTTGAAAGCAGTTCTTTGGTTATTGCTACCTCTGACCCCAGCAGCCAACCTGTATCCTACCAAACCAAAAGACTTTACTGCCTTTGTCAATCTGGTTGAATTTTGCAGGTATGTTCCTTGATTACTCCTTCTCACTCTTCACTCTCTCGACAATTCTGCCTCAGCTGCACTGAAATCCCAAGCAGTGTTGTCAGCCCTGTCTGAGCTATCTTTTACTGTACCACAGAACACTCCCCCTTAGTTATGAAAATGAGTATGTGTTTTAGTCCAGCAGGTGAAAACAGTGTAGCAGAGTTACTGTGTCGTCTTCTCAAACTGGTTAGGAGCACACTTGATATTTGGGAGATCAACGTGTATTTTCTCTTTTGTTCATTGATGGACGCAACACTTCATAATATTGTCCGTAGGTTATATCACCAATTTTTGAAGTAGGTAAAAAAAAACAAGCAGCAGCGGGTGCTGTGGACCCAGATGACACAGTCTCTGATTCCTCAGATAGTGAGGAGGATTCCTCTGCCATCTTGCTGTGCATGAAAAGGCGCTGGTGGCCACACTCATTACAACTGTGCAGGAGACCTTGTCAATGGAGGATACTCCAGGGGCTTCCAAGGAAGTGGCTGGCCCCTTTTGTACTCACAAGAACCTACCTATTTTGATAAATTTACCTACAAGGATTAGGTACGTCTGAAGCTTCCTTTTGTGGTCCTGAAATAGTTTTTTGTGCGTTACCCCTTTGAGGAGGCTGTTTTGAGGAAGTGGATCCTCCCATCTCTAGGTTGATCAAGGCAGCATGATACCGGTGGAGAGGTCTTCTCCCTTGCAGGATCTCGTGTATAGGAAGGCAGAATCAATCGCCTGTTCTATGTTTGCTGTAATGGCACATCATCTGGTTTTGGCCACGGTGTTTGTGTCTGACGCTTACTGAGTGGGTTAGGCTCTTGCACCATGATCTGGGTAATGAGCAGGTATCGTCAGTCTATGTGGAACTTGCGGACTAACTGGCCTAGGGGCTCAAGTACATGTTTGATGCAGACCCCCTGATTTCCAAGCTCCCAGTTCTGGCAGTTGTGCTTCCGCGAGTGCTCTGGCTAAAGTGTTTGTCTGCAAACCAAATGTCTAAGAAGGCCCTGGCTGAATTAATGTTGCAGGGTGTGTGGTTATTTGGCACTAACCTGGATGACAATATCAAGAATCTTATGGGAGGGAAGAGTACCTTCCTCAATCCAAAAAGGCAAGGCTGCACAAAAGCAGCTTTTTTTTTTTTTTTTTTTGTTCGTTCACCAGGCTCTTTGGACAAGGGTTCTCCTGTAGGTGGCAAAACTGTTCCTGGACTGGCAAGCCTGCCAGGCTCGGGGAAGAGTCGGCAGAAGGCAATGCTTTAAGCAGCCCCTGGCTAACTTCTTCCTTACCCAAGGAACTTTGTTCACACCCTACCCTTGGAAGCACATTACAGGTCTGTCATGAAGCTTTTCGCAACACATCTATTTCTCCAACCCTGGGACACAACAACAAAAATTTGCAACGCCTCACAGCCAGTGCTTATACCCATCTGACAGATTTCCTACCCATTTGGTGGACCCCCCTGGATTTCTGGGGAGGCCTCCAACTCTGATACAATCTCTGCTTCAGCTGTTGAATGTGGCAAAGGCTTGTATTCCACTCTGCTGGAAGGAAGTTACTCCCCCCACACTATCTCTCTGGTTTTTTTAAGGTAAATGACCTCAGGGACACAGAGGACCTAATGGACACTATGTGTAACACAAAAGAAATCTTCCGGGACACCTGGAGACCTTGGCAATATTTTGTCTACAAGGAACTTACCCCTCCTCAGTGCATTTTAAACTTTCTCTGGCTTTCTCTTCCTACTTGGCAGAGGGTACTTCTTATGTATCCTGGCTCTCGTACTTCCTCCCTTGGCCCTCGCCACTCCTCCCTCCCGCCCATCCCCTCTCTTACTTTTGGTCCTTCCCTGCTTTCTTTTTCCTCTTCTTCCCTCACCCCCATTCTCTACTCTCCCCTTCCTTTTTTTTCCTTTTGTTTAATTCTCTTTTCACCACTGTCCACACTCTGATGCCACATTCCTAGTCTGTTTTGTACAGATTTGTATCCCTGGTTAAGTAGATGTCAATGCCTTTGTCTCTGTTTTTCGGTTCAAAGTGGTCTGAAAAGTCACAGCCTATTCTAGTACTTAAGCAACATTCTATTAGATAACCTTTTTTATGGTACAGTGCAATGTTTTGTAAACTGCTCTGATCATTCTACTGATCATGGACAACACTTTGTTTTGTTTAGGGCCCATTCACACCATGGTGCAGAGACATCAGTTTTTCTGAACACTTTCTGCGGGAAATCAATTGTTCTGTATTGTTCTGTTCTGTTCACACCACAACTCTAGTATCACATGCAGGTTTTTCTGCACAGGAATCCACAATGTGTATAAAACACATTGAAGCGCACATGAAAACTGATGTCTCTGCAAGTTTACATCAGTTTTTTTTGCACGTATGGTGTGTAAGAGGTCTTACTGTGCCTCTTTTACATGTATTATGGCAGTCCTGGTAACACTGTTTGAATGATGTACTCTTTTATTATAACGTCCGGTGAACTGCCTACATTTTGTACATTTTTTTGCCTTATCTGTGCACAATTAATGCATGTATTAGGAATTCCAAAAAAGAAGCCTCCCTTTTGAGCATATTAGGAATTGCACTGCTCTCGCTTTCCCAGAAGGTCACCTTTTTGGTTGCTATCACTTCCACTTGTTGAATGTCTGAGCTGGCTGCTTTGTCCTGCAAGTCTCCCTATTTGGTCTGACACAGGGATAAGGTAGTTCTTCTTCCGCGTCCCTACTTTTTTTTTTGAAGGTGGTGTCTTACTTACACTTGAACAAGGACATTGTCCTTCCTTCCCTGTGCACGTATCCTTTACATCCCAAGGAGATTGTGCTGCACTCCTTGGATGTGAATCGGGTGTATCTGTCTGCTGTTGCCTCCCTTTGGAAGTCGGACTCTTTTTTTTTTTTTTTTTTTTTTTTTTTTTTTTTTGTCATTGCAAATGGGCCACAAAAAGGCCTGACAGCCTGCTCTGCCACTATTTCCCAATGGATTAGACAGACGGCTGTCCAGGCTTAAGCCACTAAGGGTTGAACTTCCCTCTTCCTTGTTACGGCCCACTTTTCCATGGCAGTTATTGACTCCTAGGTGTTTTGGCATCACTGTGTCTCAAGTTTGCAAGGTAGCTACCTGGTCTTCCATCTCACCTTTACTAAGTTTTGGCCTCAAGGTTTTGCAAATGGCCATCTGAAGGGTCTTATTTTCCTTCTTATTGGGTGGTGGTGTGTGTTTGCCTACCCCTCATTGAGGTGCTGCTTTGGGACGTCCCTACGGTCAAGATTCTGAAGTGCTGTGTCCGTCAATGAATGAATGAAAGAAAAAAAAAATTTGATTTTTTTGTTGTTCACTGTAAAATTCCTTTCTCTGAGGTCACTGACTGACAAACACAGCACCCAACCCTGTATTTGTTTTTTTTTATCCTTGTACTACTTTGTGATGAACTGAGCTGCCTATAGCAGAGAGGGGGTTTACCACCTATTAGGACTGCCCATAGGCAGTGCTGTGCTTGTTTTTTTTTTTTTTTTTTTTTTTCACCTTGTGCCCTACTTCTGAAGGTGGCATTATAATTTATTGTCAAGATTGTAAATTGCTGTGTCCATCAATGAACTCAGGGATTTTACGCTAAGTAACAAAAAAATCCAGTTTTTCTGTATTTGCAGTATTTTAAAAGAAGTTTTTTTTAATACTAGATATGCACACAAGTGTTCCACGTAGATGTTATGCTGTTTTTTTTTGTTTTGTTTAGTGATTGATATTATATTTCTTTCATTCTAGTGAAATACTACCAAGCAAGCATGTGGAGTTCTTTGAGCCCTGGGTATTTGTGTTTGGCTATGAGCTTATTCTGCACTCCACACGGCTGCCTCTGATCAGTGGATTTTATAAACTGTTGACTGTTGTAATGAAAAACGCCAAGAAACTAAAGTACTTTGAGGTATTGAATGTGATCCCAAACACAATTCATAAGCAGAGTTCATTTCATGCAAGATCATTTTGGCAAATAGTGTTGGAAAGTTTTTGGTTTCTTTTTTCCCTATAGAGAATCTCTAAGGGTTTCTAATAACTTCATGTCCCGTACTTGTACAAAAATGGAAAAAAAGCATATATAAAAAGGAATTTTAATGAAATGTCATGAATGACTTCTGAGCATTAAGGTGCATTCACACCTGAGTGCTTTTGGCCCAATGTGTTTTTCACGTGTTCCTGGCATGAAATGTCAAAAAGCAGCTACTGTACCCCTTTTTTGAGCTGTCTTTGGCGCATTTTTGAATACCATTTGTTTGCTAATTTTTCGAGTTTTTGTTGCCTAACAAAATGCCCATTTCTTACGCTGTGAATGGGGCCTTATTTATATATTATGCAATCACCATTATTGCAGTAATTTGGTTTGGTGATCGTAGAAACTCTTTTTAATGAAGAAAGCAGTCTGTTACTTCCACTTCAGCTTTTATATTTTATAGAGTTTGTAGAAAATCTACCATGTAAGATCGTGATATGTTGGTTGTTTGTCTTACACATTACACTTATTTTTTAAATCAGGGTTTCTGTTCAAAAGGTTCTAAGAAAAGTACAGAAGATCCTGAGAAGCTTTCTTGCTTTGCACTGTTTTCAAAATTTGGAAAAGAGGTATAGTATATTTCATTTAGTCATTTTCTGTTTTTTTGTACAGTTTTTTACATATTTATTTCTGAGTTTTTTATTGTGCTTTTTATATACCTTGTTTACACTGTTCTGACTTATGATAATGGTGTGCTTGTTGATTCTAGGTATCTGCAAAAACTAAACAGTTTAAAGATGAGCTTTTGGCATCTTGTTTAACATTTATCCTTTCTCTACCTCACAATATTGTCATGCTGGACATGAAAGCCTATGTTCCGTTATTGCAAGTAAGAATACTGACTTCAGAACCTTCTCTAATAATGCATTGGTGAATAATAATAATTAGTATCAAAATCTCTTAAGGTTCCTTGAACACTGTTTGCAGTGCACTACCACGTGTTACTATGGGGTTTATTGAAGCAGTCCATTCATTTACAATAGTTAGCTAGCCCATGGCAATGGATGAGAGATATTCCTGTGGCATTTGTTCAGTATGATAGCATGTGCAGTGTGGTGCGCTGCTGTGTGGATATGTTGGCATTGCGTTGCTATTCTAAATGAAAGGCACCTGCAATAAACCATTCCTTTCCTTTTTCATCTTTTCCAAGCAAACAAGTAAAAATTGTTATTGTGCTGCTAATACAAGATGGGAAATTTGAAACTTTGTTATAATTAGGAACTTCATTCCATTTACACTAATTGGAATTTTGTAAAATCTAGTGTAGACTCCTCTTACTCGTTTTTCTCCAGTAATTGCACATTGGATTTCAGTAAACTTTACAGTGAGCTTAATAAGGTCTGCTGGTTGTTATTAATAAGAAATAAGATTGTAAATGTGAAGATCTATAGAAGTGGGCTAGACAAAGCTAGAGTGGTGTTTTCTTGTTCACACATGGCAGCTGCAACTCACAGTGACAGTGTGATGACAATGGAATTGCTTGTAACAACTCTGTTTAGTGTTTGACCATGAGCGTCACTGTTGTGATCTGCCAAAGCTGTTAAAACCAAGTGCCCTATTAAAACAGTGCTAGAACAAGCACTTGCAGAACATTTTTAAAATGCCCTGAACTCAGGTGGTTAGTCTTTTTACAGTGTATGCTTATATTTGTGAATATGAAATGTTTACTCCATCAAATGAGTAGGTTTTTGGCAAGCATATTAGTTTGCTAAATACTGCAGAAGAATGCTTATCCTACAGTTGGCAAAGGGCAGTGACAGTCCTCAATGCTGGATGGAAGCTTTGACTGTGATAGGTAGCAGCCACTTTAACGAGTTTCTGTAAATACTAGGTCCATATTTGATCATTGTGTCTAATCTGCCTTTTTTTTTCTTTACCAATGCTTTATGAGCCACCAAAACTCTGATGGTAGTTTATGTTGTGGAGAACATCAGGTTTAAAGGCTAACTCCACCTTGTGCAGCATCTTACATCATATTTAGGGTGTATCATGGTGCCAAGTGAACTCCCCTTTCCTTGACAGCATGCAGGAGTTCTTCTTCCTCACATCCGCTGTCACTTTTGAGACCTGTGGCAGAATGAACTACAAATCCCTCGGCAAACAGAGCATAAGTGTGGTGACCACTGCACTCGTAGTCCATTGACACTTCCTCCAGCTCTCCAGCTGAATGTTTGTACCTCCTTACAGACACTGATCACAGGTGTAATGCTTTGCCACCACTTAGGCAACATAATAAATGAACATTGTGGTTTTTTTTTGTGCAAAAAAAAAAAAAAAAAAAAAAAAGGTGAATTTTGTATTTTTAAAAGGCGGACTTAGCCTTTAACCTTACCCTTTTTTGACAAAGAACTTTTTAATGTTGCTTCATAGTCAGTTGACTTAGAACTGTGCTAGAGAATGATGATGAAAGTTAATACTTACTTGAAGTATCCTTTTCAAAAGCTTTATTATTAAAGCTTTTTGAAATTTCTGAATTTATACATTTCTTACCCCAATATGTTTAATAATAGAAGACACTTTTAGGGGCAAAGCCAGATGTAGTGGAGCAGGGCTAAAAGCACATATTTTCCAAGCTATATAAATAGTTCCCCAGATTTTGAAGATTTCAATTTTTGCTACTATATGCTCTCTGCAACAGATTACCCATTTTCTATTCCACCATTCTTGTGTGCGAGAAGACAAAGTTTAGCTTATGCAGTGTTTTTGTCTGCCTTTGTTCCAGTTATGTAGATAACTGATTAATGATACTGTAATGATACAGCTGTAAAATGGTTTCCTTTATTTTGATCTAGTCTGCATTTAGGTTGGGCTTGAGCTGTCCTTCTCTTGCTGATGCTGGTCTTGATGCCCTTAACGATTGGTCTTCCCGAATTTGCCCAAGTAAAATGCAGCCTTATTACAAGGATATTCTACCATCACTGGATGGATACTTGACTAATCCATCATCTTCAGGTATTAGAGAGTATAGAAAATGTATGTTTATTGAAAGGGGGACATTTATAATCGATTGTCATGGACAGCGCAACTGGCCAACCACTAGTTTTCACATATATTAAGATTCTAAATGTTTAAAGACTTCAGTTTGCCATACACTAGTAGACGTTTGTTCACAATTTGTTGTTTTTAAGACAGGAACAATTGAGTACTGTCCGTGATACTTTTTTTATTTGCACTAACATACAATTTTGAGGACAAGCTTTTGGGGAATGTCCCCTTCTTCAGGTCTAAGCAGTACTGTTTTTAAGAACGCTTGTTCGATTGTTGATTTTCTACACATTAGTTGGGTCAGATTGATGTCCGTTTTCCACCACAGTGAAAAGAAAATGCAAAAAAGCAGGTTGAAAAATGTTCCTTGTACGACTGATTTTGTAACGGTGCATGCAGGTTTTGTTTGGAAAAGTCCATTTGCCCAAAAATGTAATGTCAAGAGCCAATATTTTTCAAAGTACTTTTGACCAACATTCATCAAATCATCAAATTTTCTGATAACTTTTCGTGTGAATATTCAATAAACAAAAATCAACTAGCCTATGGCCAGCTTTATTTGCATGGTAACTGTATTGTCAATGTTGTTGAAAAGTAGTAGTAGAACTCACTATGGATCAGTACCTTAAATTTTGCCCCTTACAGTTAACTTGTGTTTTTATTTTTTAGATGACTTGCTAAGTCCTCTTGAAATGATGCGTCTGTCACGTGCAACCCAAAAGGGTTTTAATAAATATCTTGTTCAGCAAATAAAAAGAGCAAAATCACTATCAGTGGTATGTTTTCTTATATTTTCCTAGGCTTCTAGTAAATATAATCTGTGTGCATGTAAGGTGACCTTAATATATTCTTAAAGTAAAGGTTGCTACAAGATTAAATTTATGGAGGATGGAAATTATTCTATATGGTCTTTTGGAGCTCTTTTCATCATTTAAATATGAACTTTAGAAACTCCAGCTGGGCTTGTACATCAACTGAGAGTTTTAGGGAAACAAAACTTTGGAATTGTACCCAAAACAGGCAGAGGGCAAACAACCAGGTACCAGTATTGCCTGTGCTTTCCTTTTAGCTTATATATCCCCGTTACTGACTTACCTTTGTTCTGCACTATGTTTGTGTGCAGGCAAGACATCTTGTTAGAAGCAGAGTTCTAATATCAGAGCCTCCAACACGGAGAACAGTGAGCAGTACAGTGAGGAATAGCAGCCACAGACAGGATAATCTTACACAGATACAGATGTATAGCTGTGAGGCTGTAAGTAAAGGAGTGCCTAAGCACCTTACATACCAGCAAATGCATTTCTATTTTTCAGAGGGAATTTAAGAAAAAAGAAAGATGTTCCTATAGCACAGTAAATCTTCAGTTTTTAGTTTCCACTACACTTTAAACATGATTGAACTTTGGAGCAGTAAGGTATTCTTTTCCTTTATGTTTGCAGAAGGAAGAGGTGTCTTTGGCATCAGTGAGGAACCGAGTAGTGCAAATACTTGGGTGTCTAGGAGGACAGATTAATCACAGCTTGGTTACAGGTAATTTTCCATTGATTTCCTAAAGGATTCATGTTTACTGTAGTCTGTGGAAAGTCTTTTTTTTTATCAGATTTTATTTAACAAAATGTTAAATCTTATACAGACAATACAAACAAAGCAAGCCACAAAGGATAACAACCCCCCCCCCCCATATAAACCTACCCATGGATTGCAGTCTATGAAAATTCATATTTGTTAATTGTACATCGTGTGGCACTAAGCCTCGATATATTAGCTGGTGTCATTAGATGGAGATAGTGCCTGCAAATGTTCTTCTGCAGATCTCCTTTTCACGGCTTAGGCCCCTTTTTTCTAGCCTGTTCTGAGCTCTACTGCTGTGATGGACAAAGGCTTCATCCGGATTGGTCGCCTATGGCCAAAAGGCAAAGACTGTACCCGAACCCCAAATGCAAGGTTGAGGACGGCCTGTAATGCTGGATCCTGTCGACATCCATCTCCTGGGAACAGTGTATCAGTTGATCTCGCTGGGAGGGTGCTTTACAGGTCCAGGGCAGTGAGCCCACTGGAGCGTAGTTGAGTCCCTGAAGGCCCTGGGTGGTGTGCTCATCGTGAGTGGTGACAGCCTGTAATGCTGGACCCTGCCGACATCCATCCTGGGTACAGTGTATCAGTTGATCTCGCTGGGAGGGTGCTTTACAGGTCCAGGGCAGTGAGCCCACTGGAGGGTAGTTGAATCCCTGAAGGCTCTGTGTAGTGTGCTCATCATGAGTGGTGACGATTGTGCCTGCTGGGCCTGCAGCCTGGGACTGGTGAATGCCTCTGTAAAATCTAGAGTCTTATGCCTGCAGTGTTCCCTGTGCATTGGTGCTGATAGGTTGAACTTGTAGGCAGAGTGGTATTCTGTAGCTCCAGTGTTCAAAAGGGGGTGGACAGTGTACAATGACATTATTTTGTTTGTCTACATTGAGGCCATCTTTCCGGTAAGACACAGTAATTTGTGTGATCACAGGCTCTGACTCAGAAAGCACAGAACAGCTCCTTTGGTTCAGCTAATCAGCCACAGCTCCTGTGCAGCACAGGAACCTACAGTGCATCGGCACCTTTCCACAAGTACTGGGACACTTGTCTGGTAAGGGTGACTTTGCTGTTTAGGTTTTCAGGCTTGGGCCAGCTGTGTGTCTTCTCCCTTATAAGGGTATCAAAGTCCTACTAATCCTCACAAGCCATGGCCTTGCACAGGCAGAGAGGTGGAGGAATGGATGATGAGGTTGGCTCCCAAATCCCTCTATCTGGCAGGGAGGACCCCCTATACAGTTTGTCCTGTAATGCCTCCCCTAAGGTTCAGACCAGCTATGAATTCCTGCCCTTATCTGTCTCGGAAACACATTCCTCTAGTTCCTTTATGTCAAGGAAGGAATTTTCTGCAGCAGCCATTTCTTATTTGCGAGGACAGCTCTCGGGTCGCCTGAGATGCATGTGTGGCAACTCTTCTTCCCTGCCTCCGTTTTTGTGGCAGAATGACACATCTTCCAGGAAACCATCTTCCTTTTACAACCAATTTTAATGTTCTGGCCTTCTTTACCATGCACACTACCAGAGTGGAAAATTGGCAGGTTTTCTTTTTCATTGGTCAGCAGCTGAATCCTGGAGAATAAACCCTTCTTCCAAAGATGTTCACAGAGATTTGTCTTCAGTGGGGGATGCTGAATGTGGATGTATTGGCAAACAACAAACTAGGCAGGTTTGATTGTCGAGTCAAGGATCCTCAAGAATTTGCGACTGATGCCCTGGTGACTCCTTGGGGTCAGTTTTCCCTGATCTTTTCCTTCCCTTTTTTTTCCGCTTCTTCCTTTCTTGATGAACAGAATAAAGGTGGAGGGCATTCTGGTAATTCTGATAGTATCTGCTTAGCCAGAATGAACATTGTTTGCAGACATACTATACAAACTTTATGCCAACATTTAACCACTCAGAGCTTAGTCTCAGGGGAATGACCAGGTGTTATATCACGCCATAGGTCATGTATTTACCACCACTTCCATCTAAGCCCTGTATAGGGTAGAGATGGCTTCTGAAAAGCAGGTATGTTTCCCCATTACGAGATGTGACAATTTTTAATTCCCAGAATGCCTACATTCAGTGCCATCTTTAAGGAGGGGCAAAAGGGGCAGCTGCCCTCGGCCCATTCATTACTGTGGGCCCCAAAGCAGCTGCCCCATACTTGCCAAATGTCCCCAGTGTACTTTATCTTATCCCTTGAAGTCTTCTTCCTGTGCTGTGTCCCAATATCGATGTGTGAAATGCTGTCACTTATGCTGCCCAGCTCTGCCCAATTGCCATGTAAAGATGACTCACCTGTGCAGACCCTGTCAGCTTTCACATGTAAATAGCGGCAGCATTCATATGTAAATAGCAGAGGCAATGTGACATTCATCATATGTAAATAGTGGTGGAATTCACATGTACAGTGGGGCAAAAAAGTATTTAGTCAGCCACCAATTGTGCAAGTTCTCCCACTTAAAAAGATGAGAGAGGCCTGTAATTGGCGTCATAGGTAGACCTCAACTATGAGAGACACAATGAGAAAGAAAATCCAGACAATCACAACAAGCAAGATTTCTGGCTCTCACAGACCTGTACCTTCTTCTTTAAGAGGCTCCTCTGTCCTGCACCCATTACCTGTATCAATGGCACCTGTTTGAACTTGTTATCAGTATAAAAGACACCTGTCCACAACCTCAAACAGTCACACTCCAAACTCCACTATGGTGAAGACCAAAGAGCTGTCGAAGGACACCAGAAACAAAATTGTAGACCTGCACCAGGCTGGGAAGACTGAATCTGCAATAGGCAAGCAACTTGGTGTGAACAAATCAACTGTGGGAGCAATATTTAGAAAATGGAAGACATACAAGACCACTGATAATCTCCCTCGATCTGGGGCTCCACGCAAGATCTCATCCCGTGGGGTCAAAATGATCACAAGAACGGTGAGCAAAAATCCCAGGACCACACGGGGGACCTAGTGAATGACCTGCAGAGAGCTGGGACCAACGTAACAAAGGCTACCATCAGTAACACATTACGCCGCCAGGGACTCAGATCCTGCAGTGCCAGATGTGTCCCCCTGCTTAAGCCAGTACATGTCCGGGCCCGTCTGAAGTTTGCTAGAGAGCATTTGGATGATCCAGAAGAGGATTGGGAGAATGTCATATGGTCAGATGAAACCAAAATAGAACTGTTTGGTAGAAACACAACTCGTCGTGTTTGGAGGAGAGAGAATGCTGAGTTGCATCCAAAGAACACCGTACCTACTGTGAAGCATGGGGGTGGCAACATCATGCTTTGGGGCTGTTTCTCCGCAAAGGGACCAGGACGACCGATCCATGTACAGGACAGAATGAATGGGGCCATGTATTGTGAGATTTTGAGTGCAAACCTCCTTCCATCAGCAAGGGCATTGAAGATGAAACGTGGCTGGGTCTTCCAACATGACAATGATCCCAAACATACCGCCCGAGCAACGAAGGAGTGGCTTCGTAAGAAGCATTTCAAGGTCCTGCAGTGGCCTAGCCAGTCTCCAGATCTCAACCCCATAGAAAACCTTTGGAGGGAGTTGAAAGTCTGTGTTGTCCAGCGACAGCCCCAAAACATCACTGCTCTAGAGGAGATCTGCATGGAGGAATGGGCCAACATACCAGCAACAATGTGTGCCAACTTTGTGAAGACTGACAGGAAACGTTTGACCTCTGTCATTGCCAACAAAGGATATATAACAAAGTATTGAGATGAACTTTTGATATTGACCAAATACTTATTTTCCACCATAATTTGCAAATAAATTCTTTCCAAATCAGCCAATGTGATTGTCTGGATTTTTTTTCTCATTTTGTCTCTCATAGTTGAGGTCTACCTATGATGCCAATTACAGGCCTCTCTCATCTTTTTAAGTGGGAGAACTTGCACAATTGGTGGCTGACTAAATCCTTTTTTCCCCACTGTATATTATGCCCCCCTGAGGTTCTAGCCACCATCACCTTTGCTGAATGCTGCTCACTGTAGAGGTAAACAGGGACATGCAAGAAAGTCTTGTTTGCAACTGTGGTGCAAAAATTGGGGGTAGGGGGAGGGGTGTGCAGAGGTAGTCAGAAAAGGAATTAGGTGTGCAAAGTGGGGATGTACAGAGGCAAGGAAGGTGGGTGCAAAGACGAGCAGAGGAGGCATGTAGCGTTAAGGTGGTGTTGGGGGGGAGAGGGGGATTAGAGTGGAGAGGATGGGGGAGGTTTGGGGTGCAGAGGTTAGCAGGGAAATATCGGATGCAAAGGTGTACTGACAGGGTGGGTACTGATGTAGGTCACGTCTAAGGCATCCCATTCATTTCAGTGGGATACTCTTTTTGCTAGAAATGCAGAAAAAAAGTCTGACCCTTTTTTTCAAAATCACACCGATACACACAGTGCCACAGCACCGTGAATTTTGGTGCATGAGGAAACGCTCACTGCAGCTCATGTGTGAGGGTGCCATTAACAATGAATAGCACTGCTGTATATCTGCTAGAGTGCAGAATGTTTCTGTGGTGTCCTGAAAGCGAGTTTGTATGCGTTCCCGACGCTTACAAATGTCAACATAGGCTAAATGTCTCATTTACATTGGTGATCAGTGTATGTCTTCTCATTACCTTGGGGCATGGTGTAAAATCCTTTCATTCACACTAGTGCTCTGTGTGAATGTCCCCCTTACATTGGTCATTGTAAATCCCTCCTTATGTTGGTGGTCACTGTGAATTCACCTATTATATTAGTGGTCAGTGTAAATCCCCTTTACATTGATGGCCAGTGTAGAAACTCCTTTTTATATCGGTAGTTGGTAGAAAAAAAAAATCCTAACAAGCAGAAATCATGTGCTGTGCTATCAACTAACCAGTGAGCTTTAATGTGTGCTGTAACCTCTAGAACCCGTTATGGTGAGCGGATAATGATATGCTGTAATCTCCGGTAGCCAATTGTAATCACTGCAGTAAACTGATTTTGAGTCTAGCTGCTATTTACAGTGCCTTAAAGTATTCATGCCCCTTGAAATTTTCCACATTTGTCATG